GGTTGATTGCCCCCTGTATGCCCCGACTGGGCATCCAACCTGTGACTTTTGGTGCATGGGACAACGCTCCAACCAACTGAGCCACCCCGCCAGGGCAGAATATATTATAAAAATTTTCACAAAGTGGCAAATGAAGTTACTCGCTGTCCCAGTCCCCGCCTCCCTGCCCCATGGCTTCACCACTGTTTTCAATTTGGTGGAAGGGTTCTAGACCAACCGGCTCAGCAATTAAAGCCTTGTGTGCCCACATAGACACCGGTGGAGATACCTAGAATCCTGAGCCACAGCCACCCACCTGCGTCGGTTCTGTGGTTGGATGCCGGGTGGTTGCCAGATTTTCACTATAATAAACCATGCTGAGAAGTATCCTTGGACAGGTCCTCCCTGTGGGTACACTTGGGTGTTTATCCGGGAGAGGCTACAATAGCAAGCATTGCCCAGTGCTACAGTGTAACAAGCTCTCCTGAGGCTTTTCCTGAATGAATCCTTTAATCCTTAAAACCCCTGGGGGAGCTCACTATGACTGTCTCCATTTCACAGATGGGGAAATGAGGCACAGAGAAGTTAAGTAATTTGCTCGAGGTCACACAGCTAGTAAGTAGAATTGCAGGGGTCATGGGTATGCACATTTAAAAAAAAATTATTTATTTTAATCTTCATCTGAGGATATTTTTCTTTTTTCTTTTTTAAAGAAAGGAAGGGAGAGAGAAAGGGAGGGAAAGAGAAACATTGATTGCCTCCCTGTACACACCCAGACCGGGGATCGAAACCGCCACCGAGGCATGTGCCCTGACGGGTAATGGAACCTGCAGCCTCTCAGTGTACAGGACGAAGCTCCAACCAACTGCGCCACCCGCCAGGGCACAGTTTTTATTTTAATCACAGTGATACATGTACCTAGTTTTGAAAGGCGGACAGTGCTGATAGCCTTGGCATGATCCCAAGCGGTTCCTTCCCCTTTTTTCTTCTGCCTTTTTTGAGCAGAGGAGAGAGGGGAGTGTCGGGCTTGTATTCTGGAAGGACCAAGTGGGTGTGTGTGCACCCCAGTGGGGTGCTGGGCTAAGGGCATGGAGGAGGCAGAGGAGGTGGGGGTCTCCTGCTCCAGGGTGGCAGAGGCCAATGGGGTCCCCTAGACTGCTCCCCACCCCCAGACATGGAGCAGAAGAGACAGGTGGAAGCAGGCCAGGCTTGTGGTGAGACCACTGTCTCTCCTTTGCTTCCTAGAGGATTTTGATGCCAGCCGGGAGCAGAGACTGAGCTGGACCACTGGAGCCTCGGTGAGTGGGGGCTGAGCCCCACTTGGGGAAGGCAGTGGGGGCTACAGCGGAGCAGGGAGGCTGGGGGTGCTTTGCCCTGTGGTGAGGCGCTGGTCGTGCTGGGGCCTGTGTGTACATGCCTGCTCAAACTCAACTGCCTTTCCCGTGGGGGCTGCTGCCAGGTCCCCACTTCCCTGAGCCAGGTTTTTCTTGGGGGTGGGGATTTGCAGTGAGACTGGGCAGTGTCTTGGGCACTGGAGCCCTGGGTTTGGGCTTGGTGGGAAGGGGCGCCTGCCTGACGCTTTCCGGGCCAGCAGCAGGCTGGAGTTTGTGTAACTTCTTGGAAGTGCACCTCCGGACCTCAGCCAGCAAGGCCATCTGATGCCCCTGAGGAAATCCCCACTGACTGCTTCCCGGTAAGCAAGGGTCTGTGCCACCTTCAAAATAGGAAGCGCCCATTCCAGGAACTCCCGAGGCAGGAAGCTTGGCCAGGCAGGTCACCTGAGGCTTTGTTTGTTCAGGAAGTGAAGGGGAGCTGCTGCTTGTGGAGCATGACACCCCAGTCCCTCCTGCCAGCCTGACCGGCCTGGGCTCAGCGGAGGGGGTGGGGGGTGGAGCCGCTGAGCCTCACTCTGCCTTCCTGCCTGGAACCCAGAAGGGATCTGGGCCAGGGAGCCCGGGTTTGGCCCTGGCCTGCTCTCCCAGGGTGGGCTGGGCAGTGACTTTGGTGTCTGAGCCAGCAACTTGACCGCTTACAAGGTATTCATTGAGCACTTAGGCTTAGCCAGCCTGGGGGCCCTGCGGTAGAGGACCAGGCTGGGCTCCCACCCTAGCTGAGCCCTAGGGGACTCAGTCAAGTGGACATTAACCAGAGAAAGCCCACAGCATCCTTTTCATGCGCTGTGACCGAAAAGACCTGAGCTAGCATGGTTGAGGGAGCGCCAAGGTCAGAGCTGAGAGCTGTTTCAGAAGGGGGGGGGGTGCCCCAGGCATTTACCCACTTGGTTGGCTCTGGGTTCAGATCCTGACGGGGGCTTCAGACCAACAGAAGGGCCCGGGCTTGGGTTTATCCGGACTGCTCCGGGTGGCCTGGGTTTCAGCCACTCTGGCTCCGCCCCTGCCCCGCCCCTGGCCTGAGTTCCCTCCCAGGCTGGGTTACATTCCATTCATTCCCGGCCCAGCCAGCAGCCAAGCAGGCAGGGACTGAGGCACTCGGGTGAGTGGGGCCTGGCTGGGCAGGGAGGGCCAGCCTAGTCTTAAGGCCAAGGGGCTGGGATGGCACACAGAGTGGACTTTGGACTGGGGGGGGGAGGCAGGGCCTTGTGCTCCCTCCTGCCCAGGCCCTTTCCTTCCCTGCAGGGCCCACGGGAGTGGCTACCAGCTGGTGCCCCAGGGTCCAGGGCCACTCCTGGTGTGCCCACTTCTGCGCAGAGTTGGAGCCATGGGCATCCCTGCTCCAAGTCTAGGCGTCTCCCCAGCTGCACCCTCTCTCCTGGACAGGCAGCCAAGCCCAGAGAGCAGTCTGGGGTGGTAGGGACCCCCCCCCCAGGACTGGCCATCCTGCTACAGTCCCGAGGGGCTTGTGAAATCTTCCTGACTCTGATCAAAGCCAGCATGTTCTCCCCACCTGGGCTCCTCCTCTAACGGCCCTCCTTTGGCCCCCTTTCACCTCTCCCTGCTCTGTCCCCTCCTGGACACTCTCCCGCTAGCCTGGGTGCATCTCCTCTCCCAGTGGCTGGGCAAGAACTGAGCTCTCCAGTGCACAGTGGGGGTTCTGTGCAGAGGCAGGAGCTGCCCAGCTGAGGGGGCTTCCTAGTGGTCTGAGCAAAGAAGGAAGCTGGCTTCATGTGAGCATCGCAGGGTCCGCGAGAAAGAGCCAACCCGTCCCAGTACACACAGTTTTGCCCAAAGCCAGTGCCCCAGAGAAGCCTCTCCCCTGACCATGGAGCAGAGCAGACCCCTTCCTGGAGGAGATGGGTGCAGGACGGCGGACAAGGGGGAGGAGAAAAGTCATTTCTCAAGGGAATAAGCGAGCATTCAGGGAGGTGATGTCTGAGGTGGCCGCAAAGGGTGCCCTGGCTGCTCTGGAGGTACAGGGTGGGCCGTGCTGGGAGCCTGAGAGACCGGGGCCCGGGGCCCTCATGACCATCTGTGGGGGTCTAGCCCCACTCAGGCGTGTGGTGTGGGCAGGGCTGCCCTAGATGTCCGGCCTGGCACAGGTGCCCTCGGGGAAGATTATAGCCAGTCCAGGGAGGGGGCTCATGCACACATCAGGAGAGGGTAGCCTGTGGGGGTGGCAGTGGGGGCTGGTGGGGGGTTCTGACCAGGACAGAGTGGGGTCCCAAGGGTGAGGGGGCATGGGACTACCCCAAGGTGGGAGAGGCCTGGAGGCAGGATGGCCCTGCCTGAGTTGGGGAGAGAACCATTTATGTTTTTGGGCCACTTGAGGGGCCTGGGACCCATCCTCTAATTTGGACACCCTTAGCCCAGCTGCGGCCTCAGCAGTTCATCCCACATGCACACGGACACATGTGTGGACCTGAGTACACTCAGGGACGTGAGCACATGTGGGCGCCTGCACACACAGGCAACCTGCCCCAGCCCTGCAGGTGGCGGCCCCGCCACAGACCCTGGGGTCTCCCGCCTCAGACCTGGTAGATTTGGGCAGCGCCCCGTGGACTCTTGCTGGCTCCTCTGCTGGTTCTCCAGGGGGAGGGTGTCTGGAGGCGGTCAGGCAGGGCCAGGCTGCAGGTCGAACAGCTCTGGTGGGCCCATAAAACAGCGTGAGCCCAGCTTCCTTTTAACTACAGTTTTGGTTTCCTCTGTGTTTCCTGGGAGATTGCACTGTGTGCTGAGAGTCAGGTGTGGGACAGGTGTGTGGTTCACCTGTTTTCATGTCCAGGGCTGTTGGTCAGCCTGGCCCTCTGATAGGGCTTATGCTCTAGGGACAGTGCCCCTCAGATCACCTAGAGCTCTTGGGGTCACAGGGCACGGGGTGGGCACACGCTTGAGTGCCTAGGAGACGTCTGGAGGAGGTGCTCTGTTTCCTTTGGAGGTGGGCCTGCAGGTCCTTTGAGAACCTGGAGGTGGAGGCCCAGGTGGAGTCCTCTGGGGCAGCCACGCCCATGCCTGTAGCATGCCACTGTGGTGACCAGGCCCTGGCCATAGGTTAGACTACCAAATGAACACCTCCTGAAGAGCTGAGCAATGGTCTCCTTGGAGATGAGAGTGGGTGTGCCTGGCCTCACAGGGCAAGGTAGGGCAGGGGCAGGGCACCCAGAGCACACTGGGTAGCCGTGCCCCTCCCTGGACTGTGGTGTGGTCCTTTCAGGTAGGGTCCAGAATGGAGGGGGTCTGGATTGACCTTTGATGGAGGGGGCTTCCTGTGTATGGGTGGATATTCTAGGCTGGGGCCGCCCTGACCCTCCCCTCTTCTCACAGGGTGCCGGGGGTGATGGCACTGCAGCTCTGGGCCCTGACCCTCCTGGGCCTGGTGGGCACAAGTGCAGGCCTGCGGCCCCGGAAGCTAGACTTCTTCCACAGCAAGACTGAGCTGAACCACCTGGTCGTGGATGAGGCGTCTGGCATGGTGTACCTGGGCGCAGTGAACGCGCTCTACCAGCTGAGCGCCGACCTGCAGCTGGAGCAGCAGGTGTCCACGGGCCCAGCCCTGGACCACAAGAAGTGCACACCGCCCATCGAGATCAGCCAGTGCCACGAGGCAGTGCTGACCAACAATGTCAACCAGCTGCTGCTGCTGGACCCGCCGGGGAAGCGCCTCGTCGAGTGTGGCAGCCTCTTTAAGGGCATCTGTGCCCTGCGTGCCCTCAGCAACATCTCCACGCGCCTTTACTATGAGGACAGCAGCGGGGAGCGGTCCTTCGTGGCCAGCAATGATGAGAGCGTGGCCACAGTGGGGCTGGTGAGCGCCACCCAGCCCGGCGGCGAGCGTATGCTGTTCGTGGGCAAAGGCAACGGGCCATATGACAACGGCGTCATCGTGAGCACCCGCCTGCTGGACCGGGTCGAGGGCAGGGAGGCCTTCGAGGCCTGCACGGACCATGCCACCTACAAGGCCGGGTACCTCTCCACCAACACACAGGAGTTCGTGGCTGCCTTCGAGGACAGCCTCTACGTCTTCTTCGTCTTCAACCAGCAGGACAAGCTCCCACCCCAGAACCGCACGCTGCTGGGTCGGATGTGCAAGCATGACCCCTTCTATTACTCCTACCTGGAGATGGATCTGCGGTGCCTGGACCCTGAGGACCCTCAGACCCCCCCCTTTAGCACCTGCTTAGCCGCCTTCATGGCCACATCTGACGCCGGCAAGGTGCTCTACGCGGTCTTCACCAGGGACGACCGGAAAGGCGGGGGGCCCCGTGCAGGCCTCTGCCTCTTCCCGCTGGACCAGATCCACGAGAAAATGCAGAACATCCGCAGTACTTGCTACATGGGCACCTGGACCGGCGACCCTGATAACTTCTACAAGCCCTTCCATGGCGAGATCCAGTGTGGCGGCCACGGTGTGGTACGTGGCCTCAGCAGGTTCCCCCACGGGCTTGGACCATGCGCGTCCGCGTGGGCCTTGCGGGTTGCTGCTGCTTGCTGGCGTGTCCTCGCCTGCTTGTGAGGACCCCGTGAGAGTGTGCATGTGTGTGGTGTCTCTGGCAGGGCCGGCAGGTGTGCCGCCACATGTGGGGTGGGGCCTTCGGGGCCAGGCCTGTGCTCCATACAGCAATGAGCACACAGGCAGGGTCCCTGCCTGCATGGCTCTTGTTCTTGGGGACGTGTGTGGGGGTTACAGCGCTGGGAGCCCTAGCAGGGAGGGGCCTCCTTGGCAGGCCGGGGGTGTCTGTGCCCACTTTTGACAACCTGGTCCACAGGGTGCTGGCGAGAGCTTTCTGTGTGGCTCGGAGCACCTGCCCTACCCCCTGGGCAGCCGGGACGGACTCAGAGCCACGGCTGTGCTGCAGCGTGGAGGCCTGAACCTGACGGCCGTGACCGTGACCACCGAGAACAATCACACCATCGCCTTCCTGGGCACCTCAGATGGCCAGGTCCTCAAGGTGAAGCCTCAGGCAGGGGCAGGGCAGGGCAGGAGGGCGTCTCCACAAGAACACCCCTCTCACACACCTGCCTTCGTCCCCAAGGTGTACCTGGCTCCCAACGGCAGCTCTGTGGAGTATGGTTCCATCCTCGTGGAGATCAACAAGAGGGTCAAGCGGGACCTGGTGCTGTCTGCAGATGGGGCCAGTGTGTACGCCATGACCCAGGACAAGGTAGGCCTGGGGTGGGGCCTCGCGCCCGGGCACTGTGACAGGCCTAGAGGGGTGCAGACAAGGACCAGGAGGGCAACCCTCTCCTCGTGTCCCTGGCAGCATCTCCATCCCGGTCTCTAGCACCTCCCCCATCTCGGCAGCTCTGCTCCTGTCTGTCCTGTGTGTCTGGTCCCGTTTCAGATCCATCCTGATGGGAGGGACAGGGCAGTGCTCTGAGTGGGCTTCCCCCAAGGGTGGACAGGGCAGCAAGGGACCCTGTGCAGCCTCTGTGAGCTTGGACAGTGGGGGCACAGGATGGACCCCCTGACTTATCAGGGGGTGAGTGTAGGAGCCCCTCATGCTGGCCTCGAGCACTGGAGCATCCAAGGGCCTCTCCCAGGGAGTGGGGTCAGAGGGCCTGGACTGGCATAGGGGAGGCAGAACCCCGGACACCATGGTTCCTGGGACCTTGTACCTGGGCAGGTATAGCCACAGGGCCAGGGCCATAGGGAGCCCCGTGTGCCGCGGCTGCCTGGAGCCTTTGTTGCATGCCTTGAATTGGCATCTGAGGCTAGTAAGGCTCAGATACAGGTGGGGTCAAGCTGGTGGCCCCAGGAAACTCTGGGGCCCGAGCAGGGTGGTCCTTGTGTCTGTTGGCCTGTCCCCCCTGGTGGCCGCAGTCCTGCTCACCTCCCTGCTGCCCCCAGGCATTCCGGCTTCCCGTGCAGGAGTGTCCGACCTACCTAAACTGCACCCAGTGCCTCGGCTCCCGGGACCCCTACTGCGGCTGGTGCATCGTCAAGGGCCGGTGAGCGCCTGGGGCCTGGGTGTCTCGGCTCACCCTGGGGGTCCTGGGGCTGACAAGTGCCAGGGCTGAGGCTGCCCCCCATCTCTGCAGATGCACCAGGAGGGCCGAGTGCCCACGAGCCGAGGAGAGCGGACACTGGCTGTGGAGCCTCGAGGAGTCCTGCGTGACCATCACAGGGGCCGAGCCACAGAACATGAGCCGGCGGGCCCAGGGGGAGGTGCGTAGCCCGGAAGGACGGACGCAGGGCCGAGCAGGAGACCCTCACAGCCTGTCGTTCCCGGCCCCTGTGACAGGGTGGGCTCCCGTGTATCCAGGGCAGAGCCGTCCCAGGATGGTGGGGGTGATGGAGTCAAGTTCTAGGGTCCAGGGGGCCAGTCTGCACACAAGTGGGGGCCCGATGGAGAGGGAATCACACAACAGGTGCTCTGGTTCCGGGGGGCGGTTCTCCTCATTGACAGCCCAGCACGGGTCCCCCGCCCCTCAAGGCTGGGCAGAGGGGTCCGGTGTGAGCTGTGTGGCCTCCCCCAGGTACAGCTGACCATCAGTCCCCTCCCGGCCCTGGGCGAGGAGGACGAGCTGCTGTGCCTCTTCGGCGACTCCCCGGCACACCCGGCCCGCGTGGAGGGCGACATCGTCGTCTGCAACTCCCCGAGCAGCATTCCCAGCACGCCATCTGGCCAGGGTGAGGCCCCGCCCTCCCTCCTCCACACCGTGGGGTCCCTTGCCCTACCCGGAGCCCCTCCTATGACCCAGTCCCAGGGGTGTGGGCTGAAAGGAGGGGACAGATGGCACCTGCCAGGGTGGAGCATGGCCGAGGCCCACGGGTGGCTGGGGTTCTGGGCGCCCAGAGCCATGCAGGCTGTGCACCGTCAGCATCCGCCCCACCCCATGGCCGTGAGCGAGCGAGAGGGACTCCTGAGCCCTTCCATGTGCTGCTTTGTGACATCTCAGCACCACCTGGGTGCCAGGCCCTGGGTTCAGGCCCTGGGTTCTGGTGTCTGTGCAGAACCCCACAGCCCCCCCGCCCCATCCAGCTTGTGACTGGTGGAGCTGTCCCCAGTGGCCGGGCTCTGAAAGTGGGCCGGGGCAGGTGCCAAGCCTTTGTCCCCTGAGTGTTCAGGGCCAGTGGAGGGCAGCTCGCTGGTGCAGGCGGGACCACATAGTGACGTGCAGGGACCTGGCAGGCGCTCTGCCCCAGACACCAAGGAACCCTGCGGGGACAGAGAGCCTGGCGGCACAGAGCCCTGGGGGCTGACACCCGAGCCGAGATCTGATGGCGGGTGGCAGGCCTGCTGAGCCTGAGTGCACATCAGGGGGCGCCCCTGCCGGGCCCTACCCAAGCTAGGGCTCTCAGGTTCAGGCTCGGAGCCTGTGCTTGACGGTCTGCTGGGAGCCGTGATGGGGCAAGGACGTGGGGCTGGCAGAGTCCTGGTGTCAGGCCTTCCTGTCCCCCGCCTCTGCCATGCCAGCGATGCCCTGTGCCCTGAGGCCCCCACCTGACATCATCCCCGTCTGCCATCTGCAGACCACGTGGCCGTGGAGATCCAGCTCAAATTCAGACACAGCGATGTCTTCCTCGTGTCCCACCAGTACCCCTTCTACGACTGCCGGGAGGCCATGAGGCTGGAGAAGAACCTGCCGTGAGTGTCACGCCTGCCCGGCCCCCGGCCCCTCCCGCCCTGCCCCTGCATGCCCCTGTCCCCACATGCCTCGCCACCCTCTCCTCCAGGTGCATCTCCTGTGCCAGCAACCGCTGGACCTGCCAGTGGGACCTGCGCTACCACGAGTGCCGGGAGGCCTCGCCCAACCCTGAGGATGGCATTGTCCCCGCCCACATGGTGAGGGGCTGTTGGGGGCCCCAAGGGGGTGTGGCTGCTCGGCCACAGCCAGGCGGCACCTGACCGGCCTTACTCTGCAGGAAGACAGCTGCCCCCAGTTCCTGAACCCCAGCCCGCTAGTCATCCCCATGAACTACGAGACGGACGTGACCTTCCAGGGCGAGAATCTGGACACAGTGAAGGTGAGGGCTTATGAAGGGCTGCCCTGGGGACTGGGCAGACTAGTGCAGAGAGGCCTGGTGGCTGGCAGTGTCCATGGGGCTTGTCCAGAGCCACCCTGCAGACTGCAAGTTGGAGTGCCTGGGCCTCCTGCAGGCCTCTTGGGCACAGGGCTCAGTACAGGAGATCGTGAGGCTCAGTAAACACAGTGTTGGGAACAGAAGGAGACAAAGGGGGGGGTGTGTGTGAGGGGCTTTCTGACAGGCCTTGACAGCTGGGGCAGAGAAAAGGAGGCAGGAAGATTGTTGAGGGGCTGGGCAGTGGGGCGCCCCTTAGCGAGGGAGTGGGGTCATTTGCTCGGGCTTGGACCCCGGTGGGGGTGTGTCCAGGAGTGTCCGAATGGTCTGTTGGGATGGGCGTGCCTAAGCTGGCCCTGGGGGGTGTAGGGCACACGGACAGGGCTACCAGCGCTGGGAGCAGTGGGGTTCGGGGCGGCGGGGTGGGAAGGACCGACCTGTCCAGGTGTCCTGACATCCTGACTGCACGGTCTTGCAGGGCTCCTCTTTGCACGTGGGCAGTGACCTGCCCAAGTTTGAAGTGCCAGTGAGCATGCGGGAGCCAGGAACCTTCTTCTTTCGGACCCCGAAGGTATAGCTCCCGGGATGGGCAGGTGGGGTGGCCGGGCCTCGAGGGCAGGCCCCAGGGGCAGCCTGGTCCCCCCGATGAAGCAGGGGCGGTGGCCAGGCGGAGTGATCAGCAGTGGCTCTGAGAGTCCAGCCGCTCTGCCGCGGGGAGGCCGCGTAGGCCTTTGTGGGCACAGCGGGCCCTCTCTAGGGCCGGGGGGGGGGCAGAGTGCAGTGTGTCCCTGTGTGTCCCCCCCCAGCTGTCCCACGACGAGAACGAGACGTTGCCCCTGCACCTGTACGTCAAGTCCTACGGCAAGAACATCGACAGCAAGCTCCAAGGTGGGTGGGGAC